AGCAAGAACGATATTGTTGGAACGTAAGGCCACTTAATTAAAACCAGACTCTCGCAACACGAATTGTTCAAATACAGTTCCGCGCAAACCACAACAGAACTTCGAATATTCAGTGGTGAGACTTGAGGCAAGCCAGGACGTTTTAAACGCATCTGAGACAACCCCGGTCGTCAGAAACAACGACGCCGTTGCGACAACGTGGGTGGGGGGGAGCACGGGAATTACCCGTGCGACCGCCACCGGCGCCTTTACGACAAGGCGAACATTACCCGTGATGCACGTTCGATCGGCAGGCTTCGCCCCCCTGTGCCTTCCGGCTCGCTCTTGCCTGCTCTGACTGCCCGCCTGCTGGGCGGGCAGGCTGGACGGGAGGGGCACTGGCCATGGATTCCAACGGCGTCAACAGGATCCCCGCCAACCTGGCGGCGCACGTGCAGCGCCCGGGGCGGCGGACTGCTCACCCACCGTCCTACCATTCAGTCGACATGCTGAAAGAAGGACTGGTGAACAAGGAACGGGGACCCCATCTGGCACCAAGAGCGCCTGCGTGCACGAGGAGGGTTCGAAGGACAACCAGGGAGGTACCTAAGGAAAAGTGGGCCCCTTCCGAATCCAAAGCGGTCCTTATGTCAGCGTCTTGGCCGTGCGTGGCGGTGCGAAGCCCCTGTGAGCAGGACGGGGTGAGCACGGAAGGGAACCATACGCCATTTCACATTCAGAGGAGAGCATCTTGGCCTCCGCCACTCAGGAAGAACTTTGATAAATCATCGAAGCCATAACTCACAGATCCTGCTGGCTCCCGTGTTCGTTCCGTGGGTATCGCGCTTTCTCCTCATCCTCCTGATTCTCCCCCGTCCTCCACCTCGCCTCCGCCCTCCCCCCCCCTCGCACGAAGATCAGCCACGAGTTCTCCCAAGCTTCACGATGAGGCCGGCAGGGGCGCAGCCTCACATGTACACGCATCTGTCGCCGCAGCCAACGCTCAAAGTTCGCTGTCGCCAACCCCGCTGTCCAGCACCGAGATGACAGGTTTGGTCTTCTTGGCGCCTTAACAATAGAGATGCTCCACAAATGCTCGTCCACGATCGCCTCCACACACTGTCCCACCCCTCCCTCCCCTCCCTCTTCTCCCCCCCCCTCTCCGTCCCGGCCCCCGCTCCCCGCTGCACATCCATCCCCATTATGCATCTCTGCGCCCTTCTGGCCGCGTGCCCCGCCTTCGTGAGGACGCCGACCAGGGTCGACTTGCCGCTGTCGACGTTCCCGATGATGGCAATCTGGACAGCAACGCCGTTGGACGAGGAGGAGGGGGGACGAGGAGAAAACGACAGAGAACGAGGGGATAACAATGAGGAGCAGAACTCATCATTTTCGGAAGTTTCTGAAGGAGGGAGAGGAAGAAGCGGGTAAGAGGTGTAGTTTCCTCGGAGTCTCCTGACACGCACAAGTCGGTGGGAAGGAGGAGGACGAGAAGGAGTAGAAGGAATAGGAATAAGAAGGAATTGTGGCCGAGGGGGAGATCCGTTGGGGGGGAGGTGGCCGGGGGTAAGAGCAGGAAGAGGGTGGAGGAGGAGAAAAGAAAGGGGGAGGTAGAGGCGGGGATGATAAGCTAGGTGGTGGGAGTGGGGGGAAGAGTTGGAATTGGAGGAGCACAACCCGCTGCGGCACAGCCGACCGTCCTCTTCCTCCCATTTCCTCCTGCTTATCACCGCCCCTCTCCTCCTCACGATGGTCTTCGTCGCCATCCTCCTCCTGCACTTCTCCTTCTCACCGCTCTCCTCCTCCTCCTCCTCCTCCTTCTCCTCCACCTACTCCTGTCCGACGCCCCAATCTTTACAGATCCGCCGACCCCCGCTTGCCGGGGATGTTGACGGGGATGACAAGGCTGGGGTTCAACATCGAGATTGAGGAAGGGGGGGAGGCAGAGCTCGTCGACGCCCGTTGGGGGCCCTCGAAGAGGGAATAGGGCCCCAAGACTGGCCGAGAGAACCCCAAGAGGGCCCCATGACGGGCCAAGAGAGCTCCGAGAGGGTCCGCAAGCGCTTCAAGACGCTCAAGATGTCCTTCAGACGACCCAAAAGGCCCTCAAGACACCCCAAGAGGGCGCCAAGAGGGCCCGCAAGAGGCCCAAATCATTGACGTTCCATAGGTTTTGATGTTTTTTAGTTTTATCGCCGTTTCGAGCTTTGACGCTCCACGGAGCCCAAAAATCCACCAGGATCGCCCCAAGACGGCCCAAGAGGCCCCCAGAAGTGCTTCCATCGGCTCAAGAGGGCCCCCAGAAGGCCCGATAGGCCCCCAAGAGAGCCCAAGGCAGCCCCAAGAGGGCCTCAAGAGAGCACCAAGAGCGAAAACACGAACCGGCATTTCGAGCCCTCCGCCCCAAGATGACCCCTAAGACTGCCACCACGCCCCAGAGAGGCCTCCCAGAACCCCGCGCGGTCAGGCGATGCGATCGGCCCCCCCGCGCCACCCCCCCGACAGACTGTCCCCAACGCAAGCGGAACGTTCCTTTTGAGACTGGGTGTCATTCTCGCGCGCTTGAGCCGAAACAGCCACGGAAGGAGGGAGTGAGGGAGGGACGCAGGGAGGAGGAGGAGGAGGAGGAGGAGGAGGAGGAGGAGGAGGAGGAGGAGGAGGAGGAGGCGAAGGAGGAGACCGCCCTGGCCTTGACGTCCTGCATGCTGGACTCCACCCAAGTGTCCTCGTCCACGGACTCGTTGCCATCGCTGGCGCCCTTGGAAGCAACCCTCCAGCCCAGGGCCGCCCGCGGCACCATTCCGGTCTTGAGATCCGTCCCGAGTGCGCAGACCACCCCGCCGATCGCGGCTCCGACCGACGGCATCGATCCCATACCGATCTCGCCAGGATCGGCCAGACTAGTGGGCACGGCACCTGCCCCTCTCGCCACCTCGAGGCGGGCGCGACGGCCAGGCTGGCACCACCAGGGGCCGGGGCGGAGGGGGCGGTCGGGGACGGGCCCCTCCGGCGGAGGCCGGCGGCGGCGGGCGGTGGACGAGCGCCTGGGCTGGAGGCGGTCGGAGACAGCCCAGCCCAAGGGGGGCTGGCGGGCTGGAGCCGGCTCGCACCGCGAATCGCCGACGATGTGCAATGGGAGAAGTCCCATTCAACAGATCTCTTGACATCCCCCTGGGCGAGCCAGACAACCCCCTCAAAATTGATACCCTGAGCGTCCCAGCATGGAACTGTGGCCGGCGCTCGCGCAAGCACACCACTCCCAATCACGGACGTGGTTGGCGCTGGGAGGATCTCTCGGGCGAGACTGGCTGGACCACCTCAGGCCGAGGCATCTCTGAACCCCGAGGACACGCAAGAGTGAAATTTGGGCAGGAGTGGCCTCTGGTGCGCGGCTTCTCGGGTGCCGCGGGGAGGTCAGATCCAAGCGCGCAGGCCTGTGCTGGGGCGACCCCTGTGGGCCCGCACCAGGGGTCGCTTGAGGCGACGGGTCACTCCTGCGCGCGGCCGTGAGCGTCAGATTGTAGATCGGATCGGATCGCCATTGAGTCGTCGCGCGTCGGGACCATGTCTCACCTCTCACCCTTGGTCCAGGGGCCCGCGGAGGGGCTCGAGATGTTGAGATCGAGAGATCGCGTCGGCGCTGAACGAATCTCGGTCGGAGACAGCCTGGCCCCGAAAAGGTCTGGCCAGCGTGAGCAGGAGCGAACCGCGAAGTCGGATCGGAACTCGGATCGAATCGCCAGCGAGTCTTCGCGAATCGGGATCACGTCTTACACTTAGTCCAAGAGCCCAGGGCGGGACTCCGATCGACTTCCAGAAAGACGCAGACTTCCAAAGAGACGCAGCTCTCTCTCTCTCTCTCTCTCTCTCTTCTTGGAAGTCGAACTCGACTCCCCAAGACACGCAGCTCTCTCGAGACGCCGAGCTCGAGGAGACGCGCCGGCGCGGAACGCAGCAAAACGCTGGAGGTCTGGAGCCCCAGGGCGGGCGACACGGGGAGACAGCAAAGGCGGGGGGGGGGGGGACGAATCACGACGTCGGAGGTCTGGACCCGAGCCCTCCCGGGGCGGGCGAGACGGTAGACAGCAAAGGGGGGGACTAGAACGAGCGGCAACGCCAGGGGTCTGGACCCTGTTCCTCCCAGGGCGGGCGAGAGCCGGGGAGACAGCAGAGGGGAGGGACTGTAACGGGCCGCGACGCTGGAGGTCTGGACCCGAGTCCTCCCGGGGCGGGAGAAACAGGGAGATACACTTCTCCGGGGGCGGTCGAAACGGGGAGACAGCAAGGGGGGTGGTTATACCGAGTCACGGCGCCAGAGGTGTGGGCCCTCCTCACCTCGGAGCGGACGAGATTGGGAGGGGAAAAGCAGCACATGGGACGGGCACGAGGAGTGAGCGGACTTCTACACCACCCCTGCCCATGGCGCTGGCGACAATGATTGCATATTCCCCCTCTTCGCCCTCACGCTGTGTCTGACGGTGGCGCACTGCTATGCATACGCTCACGCATGTGATCTGCAACGGATGTGCCGTCCAGGCACGGCTCCCGACTCACTGACAGCAGCACAGGAGGCGCATCGCGAGGCAGCTGCACGCGGGTGGCTTTCCCGGCGCTGGAGGCGGCCACGTGTCGAGGAGCGTGCGTGGCGGCGGGGCCGACCGAGACCAGCTGCAAGCGGCAGACTTCGTCGTCATCGTCGTCGTCGGCTGCGCAGTGGCCAAAGTGACGGCCAAGAGTGGGTGGACTACACAAGCCCTTGACGCGAGTCTTCGAGAGAGAGGGGCACTCAGGAGAGCTGCATGTGAACTGGCTCTCGTCAGATTTGCGCTCGACCCAGGCCAGCGCCTACACTCAGAGGGTCTATGAGGCTGTCGTGATGGTTCTATTCCAGGCGCGTACAGTTTGGCACATTTGCACCTTCTTGAGAGATCGTTTCGCATTTGTCGGCGATAGCCTGGGCTATCGGGGGGGAGGGGGGGGAGGTGCCGGCCGATAACCTACTGTAGCCTTTTCGCTTTGGGCAGCCCAAATGCCGCGTATGACCGCGCGCACCAGTACTGCGTACCTACTTCGGACCTGCGCAGACGACAAGGTCAGGTGATCCGGAGGGAGGTAGGGTGGGTGCGGGCCCGATTGCCCGGATGATCGGCAGACCCCCCAAAACACTGCCTCTCTCTCTTTCCAGAGGGAACATGGCGACGCTCGCGGCCACCGGGGCCACCTGCGACACATCGCGGCCAACCGGGGCCCCTGGGGAAGGACCCGATGGTACGCCAGACCCCCTCCGTGCTCGGCACTCATGTTCACGCGACAGGGCAGGAATGATCTGATGACGAGATGGGATCAAGATGCGCTCCAAGATCTCTGGAGTATCCAGCGGCCCTCGTGTCTGCAGCCCATGTTGAACAGCAGGGAATCGGGGACATTCTGGAAATCCTCGAATTTTGGAGCATCTCATTATCATCACCTCCGACGGGGGGGGCTCAGAGAAGGCGCCCCTGCTCTCTGAGAAGCCGCAAGCCTTGGAACGCCGCCCCCCCCCCCCCCTCTCCCCTGGCGCCACCCTCTTGGTGCGCGGCGCCGACCTCTGACGCAGCCCGCTCTGGAAGCCCGCGCTTCGCCCGCGCTTCTTGGAGGCAGGGGGGAGGAGGGACGGAGGAGGAGGAGGAGGAGGAGGAGGAGGAGGAGGAGGAGGAGGGACGGGGGAGGAGGAGGAGGGACGGGGGAGGAAGAGGAAGAGGAGGAGGAGGAGGAGGAGGAGGAGGAGGAGGAGGAGAAGGAGGAGGAGGAGGAGGGGGAGCAGGGGAGCGTCAGGCGTGCAGAGTCCACACCGCACCACGAGGGTTTCGAGGGCGGTCCGAGCAGAGTGGCGCCCCGCCCGCGCTTCGCCCGCCTGCCGTCGGCCCTCTGGCGGGCCAGGGCCGCCGCCGGCCGCCCAGGGGCGGTGCGTGCCGCAGGCCCAGGCTCTAGGGGAAGCCCCTCCTCCCTCCCCCGAACAATGGAGGTCTCCTAGATGGGGTCCGAGTACACATCGTTCATTTCTAATCGCGCTCACTTCTAATTGTGCTCGGTTCTAATTGTTCCTGGCCCCCTAATGGCCAGGAAGAGGCCCAGGATAGAACAATTAGAAATGAAAGGATCTTGCCCCTCCAACAAAAATCAAAGAATTTCCGAATCACTAGACATGAACAGTGTGTAGATGGGGTCGGAGGATGCCGACGCATCGCCGACACATCGGCGATGCATCACCGATGCATCGGCGATGCACCGTGCATCGGCGATGCACTGGCGACGTCGGCGGTGCATCGGCGACGTCGGCGTGGAGAAACTTGGGCTGCATATCGAGCCGCGTCGCCGATGCATCGCCGATGCATCGGCGATGCGGCGCGATCCTCCGACCCCATCTGCTCCGACCCCATCTGGGAGGCCTAGAAACAAGGCAGCCCCAAGACGCCGCCCCCAAAAAACCTCGGCGCCCTTTCTCTCAAGGGGGACGCCAAGGTTCGGGGAGGGGTGAAAGCGGCGCCCCTGGCGCTTGGGGACCCCAGCTTCTCGCTCCCCGGTCTCGGCCTCCGAGAGCGTCGGCCCCCGGGGGCGCCGCTCGAGGCACGGGCCCAAGACACGAGAAACGGCTCCTGGGGAGAGGGGTCGGAAGGCCTGTGGCCCACCGGCTGAGGGCCGGCGGCAAGCGAGGGGAGGAAGTGAGACGGAGAGGGTCTTCTCGGCAGGCGGCGGGGCTTCTCGGAAGCCCTCTGGCCTTCCGAGTGCCTTTCTGCGTCCTCGGGGAAGGCTTCGGGAACTGCTCACGGGAGGCTGGGGGACTTCCGAGCCTTCTGAGACGGCCCGCCCCTGCTCACTTCCCCCCCTGGCTCGCCGCCGAGTTCTGGAATGCCTAACATGACGAGCCTTCGGTGGCAACTCATGGGAGCCTCCCAGGCCGTCCTTCTGGCGCTTGCGAATCGGCGCCAACCGACGCTGACCGACGCGAATCGAATCTAATCGACGCTCATCGACGCTACATCAACGCTAACCGACGCTACATCGGTGCTTTCTCAGCAATTACCAAGCGCTAGCGCAGGCAAACGCACTCTAAAGATGGAGTTACGAGGAGGCTCCCATAACTTACAATTGAACGATTGAGCGAACCTGTGATCGTCCCGACTGATGGATCCTCTCCCTCGCCTCGGTATGACTCTCTCGACGGACTAGGGTCTGCTGAGCCGGTGGCGCTCTCCCCAGAGGGGACGCGCGTGGTGGCGTCGTCGGCCGCCTCCGTGCGCCGCGGGAGGGAGAGGACGAGGTCGAGGGCGCAAATGGAGGGGGGGCGAGCAAGAAAGCGGAGGAGGACGATGAGGAGGAAGAAGAGGAGGACGGGGGAGGGGGGCGAGGAGAAGAGATGAAAAAGCATGAAGCATGGAGCACGGGTTGGCCTGCCTCCGAAGAGGCAGGTCCGAGAAGAGAAGGGGTGAAACAGACACAGAGCAGCCGGCAGGGAGGACAGGCAGACCTGGGTGCGAATGCCAGTGGCCACATGGCAGCAAGGCTACTTAACAAGATCGGACAAGGCCCAGCATGAAGAAACCAAATGTGGCCCTGTCCCCAGATACCGTAAGTCAGAAGGGATGATGGAAGATGTGGGGGAGGAGGAGGGAAAAGGACTGGGAGGAAGGTCAAATTATCCAGGTCGAACGGGTCAGTGGTGCCCGCCCATTCCCACCGTCCCTGCCATAACGTATGGCTCAATACCGGCACAACGTGAGAACAGGACTGGACCGCGCTCCCGCCTAGGGAACATAATGCGCTCGCACCCGGTCCCGCTTTCGACAACTTAGCGGGGGAGAACAAAAACCGCGGGGCGCGCACGGGCGGGAGTGGAACTCCAGAAGAAAATCTGTGCACGGCGCTGCGGCGAGAGCACCATGTAGCCTTCCCCCGAGCGGCCACATTTCTGCTGAGCGCGGCAAGGGCGAATCGTCTGCCGCGCCGAAACAGCAACGCCCTCTCTACGCGCAAGCTGCGCGGCGTCTGGGGAAGAACAGCATGTCAACCGCTCTCGCGCGGCCCCGCTGCCGCTGCCGCTGTCAGGCGATATGGCGAGGGAAGCAGGCGACGCGCCCAGGCCGGAACGCACTCTTCCGGCAACATCTGTGCTGAGCTCCGGCTGGGGCGACATGCCGCCCGCTCCAACGCGGCTCCGCCCCCCCCAACGAGTTGGAGAGCGAGAAGTACGCGCCGCCCCGAGGCAGGAGCGCCACTTTCGGACGAAATCCGAGCGGCGCCGAGGCGAGAGCGACATGTTCCACTGCTCGCTTGTCGACGAATGGGCGAACGAAGAATGAGCGTCACGCCCGAGCGGGAGGTCAATTCCCAGGAGAAATGAGCGCGACGCCAAGGCGAGAGCGACATTTCGCCCATTCATACGGGATGCGCGCCTGTCAGATATCCACCACGCATTCTGAAATGGCGAAGACAAAACGTCCATGTTGAACGGCACGTCGCCTTTGAATTCTTCGTTGATAGGTAGTGAGAAAACGTGCCTGATCTGGTTGATATCTGCCGGCTAGATGGCCTAGCAGCCCCGTGCAACGAGCCATCGGGCCCCGACCATTCCCGCCCCCCCTGCGACCACACAGAAATCAATGGTGCCACAACGCGATGTTGGGACCGGAGTGCAGTCGGAAGGCGCTCGCGCTTGGTCCCGCTTTCGTCTACTTTGTCGAGGGAGAGACAACGCGGGCCGCGCACGGGCGGAAGCGGAACTGTAGAAAATCACTGCGCGACGCCGCGGCGAGACCACACTGTTGCCTTCCCCCAGGCGCCCAGATTATTGACGAGCGCGGCGAGAGCGAAGCGAGCCCTGCGCCGAAACGGCATTGCCATCTTTACGCGCAAACCGTGCGGATGTTGGGCGAGGGCAGCATGCCACCAGCTCTCGCGCGCCCACCCCCCCTGCCACTGGGGCCTTCGGTGGAGCTCCCAATGGGGCCGCGAAACGCGCGAATGGTGTACCGAAATGGGCATGCAGTGGGCGGGGAGCCACATGTGAACCCGGCCACTGAGCCTTTGGTGTAGCTCCGTATGGGGCCACGAAACGTGTGCGGTGTGTGTGTGTGTGCCAAAATGGACATGCTGTGGGCGGGAAGCCGCATGCGAACCCTGCCACTGGGGCCCTCGGTGGAGCTCCGATGGGGCCACGCAACGTGTGAGGGGTGTGCCAAAATGGACATGCGGTGGGCGGGGGGGAGCCGCATGTGGAGTCTTCCACTGGGTCCTTCGGTGGAGTTCCCTATGAGGCAACGAAGCGCGTGAGGGGTGTGCCGAAATGGCCATGCAGTGGGCGGGGAACCGCATGTGGACCCTGCCACCGGGGCCTTCGGTGGAGCTCCCGATGGTGCCACGAAGCGTGTGAAGGGTGTGCCGAACAGGTTGTTATGCGGAGGGCAGAGGCAAGGATGGGAGAAAAGAGGGGGGAGGATGAGAATCGAGGACGCGGGAGCACTGTCTTTTCAAAAGGAATACCCAACACCACAGGATGGTTGGGACAGATCAAGACTGAATCCCAACCACCCTGTGGTGCCGGGTCCCCGTTTTGAAGAGACAGCGCCCCGCGCTTCTCTCCTCCTCTCCTCCTCCCTCCTCCCGCCTCCCATCCCTTGCGCCCCTCACACGTCTCGTGGCCTCAAAGGGAGCTCCACCGAAGGTCCAAGGGGCGCCACCCGCATGCGCCCGACCCACCTATCTCGGCACACCCCTCACAAGGATCGAGGCCCCATAGAAGGCTCCACCGAAGGCCTCTAAGGGGCGCCGCTTCCATGCGCCCGGCCCACCGATCTTGGTACACCCCTCGCGAGGATCGTGGCCCCAGAGGGGGCTCCACCGAAGGTCTCAAGGGCGCCGCCCGCATGCGTCCGACCCACCCGTTTCGGCACACCCCTCACCAGGATCGCTGCCCCATGGGGGGCTCCGCCGAAGGTCCCATGGGCGCCACCCGCATGCGTCTGGCCGACCCATTCGGCACATGCCTCACAAGAATCGCTGCCTCATTGGGGGGGCTCCACCGAATGTCCCAGGAGCGCCGCCCGCATGCGTCCGAGCCACTCATGTCGGCTCATCCCTCAAGATGATCGTGGCCTCATATCGGGGGCTCCACCGAAGGTCCAAGGGGCGCCACCCGTATGCGTTCGACCCACCCATGTCTGCACACCTGGATCGCACATCCGACCCACCCATGTCGGCACACCCCTCACGAGGATCGTGGCCCCATAGGGAGCTCCACCGAGGGTCCCATGGGCGCAGCCCGCATGCGTCCGAGCCAACCATTTTGGCACAACCCTCATGAGGATCGTGGCCCCATAGGGAGCCCCACCGAAGGTCCCAAGGTCGCCGCCCGCATACGTCCGACCCACCGATTTCGGCACGCCCCTCGCACGTTTCGGCGCCCCATAGTGAGGTCCACCGAAGGTCGCAACGGCCGTCATCGTATGCGTCTCCCCCACAGCCCGCATGCCCCTCATGCGGTTCGCCTGTCTCGCACGATTCGCGGCCCCATAGGGAGTTCCCCCTCGATCGTCCCGCCTGCTCTGCGGTACTCACAGCTGCACATGGTTGGGTCATTCGCATGGATACTTGCTTGTCGCATGCGTGGGCCTTCGGGGGCCCGCACTGGGCACCGGGGCGAAAAGCCAGACGGGGAACGGGTAACACATCAATTTATTCTCCACCATCCTGTGGTGTTGGGTCCTCGCTTTGAAGAGGCAACGCCCCGCGCCTCCTCCTCCTCCTCCTCCTCCTCCTCCTCCTCCTCCTCCTCCTCCTCCTCCTCCTCCTTCTCTTCCTCCTCCTCCTCCTCCTCCTCCTCCTCCTCCTCCTCCTCCTCTCCTCTCCTCCTTCCTACTCCCATCCTTGCCTCTGCCCTCCGCGTGTGCACCTCTCACGCGCTTCGTGGTCCCATGGGGAGCCCCACCGCAGGCCCCAGTGGCGGGGTCCACATGCGGCTCCCCGCCCACCGCATGTCCATGTCGACACACTCCATCACACGTTTCGTGGCCCCATAGGGATCTCCACCGAAGGCCCCAGCAGAAAGTTCCACATGCGGATCCCCGCCCACCGCATGTCCGTTTCGGCACCCTCACACGTTTCGTGGTCCCATGGGGAGCTCCACCGAGGGCCCTGAGCAGGGTCCACATGCGGCTCCCCGCCCACCGCATGTCCATTTCGATACACCTAATCACACCCTTCGTGGCCCCATAGGGAGCTCAAACAGAGGCCCAAAGGGCGAGGTCTACCTACATGCGGTTCCCCGCCCACTGCATGCCCATTTTGGCACACCCCTCACACGTTGCGTGGCACCATGGGAAGCTCCACCGCAAGCCCCAGTGGCGGGGTCCACATGCGGCTCCCCGCCCACCGCATGTCCATTTCGGCACACCCCTCACACGTTTCGTGGCCCCATCGGGAGCTCCACCGAAGGCCCCAGCAGCAAGTTCCACATGCGGATCCCCGCCCACCGCATGTCTATTTCGGCACCCTCATTACACGCTTCGTGGTCCCATGGGGAGCCCCACCGAAGGAACCAAAGGCAGGGTCCACATGCGGCTCCCCGCCCATCGCTTGTCCATTTCAGCACACCCCATCACACGTTGCGTGGCCCCATAGGGATCTCCACCGAAGACCCTTGGGGCAGGGTCCACATGCGGCTCTTCGCCCACCGCATGTCCGCTTCGCACACCCATCACACGTTGCGTGGCCCCATAGGGAGCTCTAACGCTGGCCCCAGTGGCGGGGTCCACATGCGGCTCCCCGCCCACCGCTTGGCCATTTCGGCAACACCCCTCACACGTTGCGTGGCACCATTGGGAGTTACCCCTCCTTCGTCTCCCCAGCCTTGCGGTACTCACAATTACGTATGTTAGGGCTCTCGCCAGTCTATTTAAAATACCTTTTCCGATTGTCCGAGTGTCCATCGCGGTCTCGGTTGCATGCCGATGATCAGAGCTGATGCTGGTCAAAAGCGGCGCATTGGATTTCCCAAACATCTTCACCATCGACATCGACGCCGCGAGCTCGTTGGATAGCTCTTGGTTGCCAAAGCGTTCCTGTTGTTCCAGGTAGTTCGCCATCGCATCGTGATAAGCTTGGGATGCGGCTTTGAAGAACTCGTAATCGCCCAGGCGATTGGCCGTTAAGTTTAGTCCAAAGTCGGCGAATGTGTACTCGATCCACTCCTGTCCTGTGGTGGGGATGCCTGTTCCGGATATTGCTGCCATGACCTCACTCCGCTGCAGTGCAACTCAGAAAGATGATAGTACAAATTGAGCGTCCTCCCTTTATCTGAATGAACGAGTAGGATGCAACACAGGTCGTGTCGCGGTGACGCGGACCTAAATACTCGAACCAAACGACAGCGGTAGCACGATAACATGGATGTTTGTCTCGTAACAGTTCCTTCTTCTCCTCCTCCCCGCGCGCACGAGAGTGGAGGCGGAGTGCGCCCCGGGGCGGAAAGGGGAGGGAGGGAGGGAGGACGAAAAAGGAGGGGCGAGAGGAAGGAGAGAGGAGGGATGAGGCAGGGAGGATGAGGGAGGAGGGGGCGACAGAACTGCGACGACGACGAAGACAACGACGACGAGGCCGACGCGGACGACGACGGCGCCGACGACGACGCCGACGCCATCGACGTCAACGCGGCAGCAGGAGGAGGCGCGCGAGCCTCGGCCGCCAGGGAGGCGGTCCCCGCCGCCGGGGGCTTCGCCGCGCTCATCCCCGCCCGCGGGAGAGGGGGGGTGGGCCGACCCTTTGGCGGCAACTCGTGGGACGCAGGAGGGCATACTAGTACGATGTGCTGATGTTGGAGGCGCACGTCCGACACGAGCACATTGATACATATACATATCGAGTGAACAAATACATGAATACATGAATACATAAATAAACGCAGACACTACACACACACACACACATTCGGGCGGTATGGCCATAAAGCGCCCTCCGCAGAGCTTGTACTGCAAGATTTCTGGGAGTGCGCGTCGCCCTTTGCGGGGCCGACGCGCACACAATGCAACCATGCTTGAGCGGTGCCGAGCTCATGGGACCTCCCGTGCGCTCCTGCTGGCTATTGCGAAGCGACGCATCCGACGCTGATCGACGCCAGTCGATGCCAACTCACAAGCGACGCCATCCGCCTTGTCAATGCATTAGCGACGAAGTTGCGTGGTCCTCCTCCGGCGCCGTTTGAGCTGCCAGGCTACAGCAGATGCAGGCTGGTCAAAGGGAGAGCGGATCCAGGAAACCTGGGCCAACTTTGTGGCAATGCGTCTTCCCCTGACGCTGGGCCAGCCCAGCGCAGCTCCGTGCATGTGATGATGGGATCGGATTCAGGCCAGCTTCCTACAAGGTGCTGGTGGAACGCTGAAACAGGCAAGCGACGAACGACCGGCGCCTCTGTACGATTAGACACCTGGCTGCAAATCTAGGAGAACAGTTTCGAAGGTCTTCTTCAACTTTATCGGGAGCTCCAAGGATCTTCAGTGCCATGGGGGGTATCAGGGACTTCGGTGGGGCACCTGCTCGCAGGTCAATTTCTTATCTCACGTGCCCACTGTAAGAAAAAATCGACAGTCCTCGATCATCCACCCTGGAGGGATGACTTGTCCCCAAATCTGGATCGATTAAAAAAAGAGGACAACTTTCCCCCCAAACCATCCAGTTGTGTTGGGTCCTCGTTTTGAAGAGACAGCACCCCTCGCCACCACAACAATAACACAAGATGAATACTACTCTCCTCTCTCCCCCGAAGACGGCGGTGAGGTGTCATGGCCTCCTCCTTGTATTGTCTCTACACGCAAGATGCCGCCGAATTGACAATTAATATGAACGTTCACAATCCGAACGTTTTCAATCCTTTCAGAATGACGCTCCCGCTACAGCGTTGGCTTTATTTACCCTTTCTTAGTCCTTCTGCATTACGTTCCCGCTGTAGCGCTGACCTCATTCAATTGTTTCGGTTTTTCCAAATTGTGTTGCTGCTGCAGCGTTGGCTTCGTCTCCGCGCTTTCAGTTTTTCCAACCCATGTTCCCACTGCAGCGCTGGTCTCATTTCCCCGGTTTCGGTCCTTCGAAATCGTGCTCCCGCTGCAACGCTGGTCTCATTTTGCGCTCCCCGCTATCCAGACCGTCTATTTGCATCTCCCGTCCTGTGCCATTACAGGTTTCCAACAGACCTTGTTGTCCAAATGACTCGCGTTCTCGACGCGACGCCATGCTACGCTTTGCTATACCATGCATCGCGTAGTCTCTCGGGATCATTGCCCTGTTCGACATCCGACTGCGAATAGAGAGGATATTTACGCAATTATAAGGGATGGGAGGGAGGGGCGGAACGTCAAATGTGACGCTTGTGCACCTAGCTTGCTTCCCTCCACAATTACACAATATGAATACTATTCTCCTCTCTCCCCTGATGACGTCCGGAAGATGTTCGGCCCCCCTCCGCGCGCTGTTGTTTACACACGGGATTCCCTGGAATTGGGTTTTCTCTTGGTTCGTTTTGCACAATGTTGCTCCCGCTAAAGCACTGGCCTTATTTTCGGGCTTCCGCTCGTTCTGAATCGTGTTCCCGCTGCAGCGCTGGCCTCATTTCCGCGCTTACGATCGTTCCGAATCGTGCTCCCGCTGCAGCGCTGGTGTCATTATTTCCAGTGCCATGCCACGGCACGCAACGCAATGCTATGTGTGTTCTGCTGTGCGATGCCATGCCCTCAGATGCAACGCTAGGATAAGCAATGCTTGACTACGCAGTGCCACGCCATGCTATGCCATGCTACGATTTGATATTTAACGCCATGCTATACCATGTTCTGTTCTGTGCCGCTGTGTGATGCCATTCTTTGCGTTGCAGTGTTTTGTGATGCAATTCTTCACTACGCAACGCCACACCATGTTATGACATGCTACGCTCTGCCGTGCTCTTCTACGCCCTGCTATGCCGTGCTCTACGATGCATCGCGCACCCTCTCGAGATCATTGCCCTGCTCGGCATCCGGCAGTGCGAATAGAGGGGAGATCTACGCCATGGTAAAGAATGGGAGGGAGGGGCGTACGTCAGATATGACGCGAGCGCACCTAGCATGTCCTCTCCTCTTTCTTCTTTCGGACGCCTCTGATCACCAACTGTGACAGGCCAAGGACTAGAGAAAGAGCTATGCATTACACATCGCAGCAAAAGAGAAAAGCAAATTAAGATTCTCGGGCACGTTTGGCCGACCTGTGTTTGGAAAACAAGCTGGACACGAAGTGGATGGCGTCATCGAGCGCCACCGCTTCTGCAGTAAAGGATGAAACTGGGTGCTCAAAATACACCCCACGAAACGCGACTGGAAACGTGTGCCTGGATCCAGCGCGCGTTACAATTGCCTCCAACACCCAGCCGGCAACCGAACACTTATTCGTCCAGGTTCCCCCGTCTGAATGGCAAGTAAAGTTCGCCTCGCACGGAGAGAAATCGAAGGCAGCCGGTGGCATTTCATTGAGCGAGCTGTGTCCCAACTCCATTGTGCAATTCACGATAAAATCTGCTATTCGGTTGTGTTCCCTCTGGTGCCATACGACCAGGGCGGAAGCCATGCACGGCGGCGTCCGCCCATCCTGGAAGAAGCTGACCACGGAGGATGAAACACGATCAAAAACTCGAGTCAGATGATTATCTCCTCCTCCCCCTACTCCTCCCCCTCCTCCTCCTCCTCCTCCTCCCATCATCTTCCCTCTGCCCTCCGCATGTCAACCTGCTCAGCACACCCCTCGCATGTTTAGTGGCTCCACAGGGAGCTCCACCGAGGGTCTCCATGGTGAGTTCGCACGCGCCCGCCCGACATCTTTCGGCGCACTCATCACACGTGTTGTGGCCCCGTAGGGAGCTCCACCGATGACTTCCATGGTGGGCGAGTTCGCACGCGTCCGCCCGGACGAATTTCGACATACTCCGCACGCGCTTCGTGGCCCCATATTGACCTCCACCGAGAGTTTCCGTTGTGAGTTCGCATGTGTCCGCCCGACCTATTTCGGCACCCCCTTCCCACGCTTCGTGGCCCCATAGGAAACTCCACCCAGCCTTAGTTGTGAGTTCGCGTGCGTCCGCGCAACCAATTTCGACACACGCCTCACACGTTTCGCGGCCTCGTAGGGAGCTCCACCGAGGCCTCCGCGGTGAGTTCGCATGCGTCCACCCGGCCCATTTCGGCACATCCCTCACACGTCTCGTGGCCCCATAGGAAGCTCCACCGAGGTCCTCCATGGTGAGTCCGCATGCGTCCGCCCGATGATTTCGGTACACCCCTCGCACGTTTCGTGGCTCAACAGGGAGCTCCCCCGAAGACCTCCATGGTGAGTTCGCATGCGCCCGCCCGACCCATTCCGGCACACTCTTCACACGTTTCGTGGCCCCGTAGGGAGCTCCACCGAGAGCCTCCGTGGTGAGTTCGCATTCGTCCACCTGGCCCATGTCGGCACATCCCTCACACGTCTCGTGGCCCCATAGAGCTCCACCAAGTGCCCCCGTGGTGAATTCGCATGCGCCCGCACGGCCCATGTCTGGCACACCCCGCACACGTTTCGTGGCCCACAAAGAGCTCCATTGAGGGCCTCCATGGTGAGTTCGCATGCGTCCGCGCGACCAATGTCGACACACCCCGCACACAATTCGTGGTCCTGAAGGGAGATCCACCGGGGGCTTCCGTCGTGACTTCACATGCGTCCCGACACATTTCGGTACATCCCTCGCACGCTTCGTGAACCCATAGGGGGCGGGCCAGGCTCGCGTGCCATCGTGGTATCGCTCTTCTTGCTGCCCAGAGCCCCCTGTCAATTGTTTCGTGCCCCCTGTGCTCTCAAATGCCAGGTCTCGGAAAACTGGTGATTGAGATAACGGGTAGACCATCCCGCTCCGCCCTCCCACACGTGCCCGCACTGCCCCGCGCCTCGTTCTTCCTACGGCGCGCTGCCTTTGAGAGCAGAGGCTTATGCCGTGCTTTATTCGGAGTTTGCGTGCCCCCCTCCTTCGCAGCTGCATGTTGGCGGGGTCCTTCGCCAGGTTAAGTGTATCGTTCGCGGCCCCCGTCTGGGGGCATCTGCAGGACTGGCCGTTCGACAGCATGGCCGCCCGCAGTATACCCTGGGACGTGCAAAACTTATGCAGCGAATGTCCCGAACACTGCATGCCAGACTGCGCGTGCCAACTGGGCGTCGCGTGCACGCGCGCGCTCGCACTCCAGGATGCCTGGGAAAGGCGCCTCGGCGACGGTTACGATGACAGGGGCCTGCGCTTCCAGTTCCTGCCATGCGGCCAGAAGTGCAATTATCCAAGCCGCAGTTGACCCGTGCCAAGGCGCCGTCGGCAATGCCCTGGCAGCAAGTATACAGCGGATGCGTGACCGTGATGTCCATGGCGCCACAGCTGGGCATCTCTCGATGGTGCATGGGCGCTTCTCTACGCCGTGGATTGGCCAACCTCCCGTGAACCGCACCGCGC